GGAAAGAACGAGGAACGCACCAGGCGTGGTTGCCCCGGTACTTACTTAAGACTGAGCAACCTCTCGTCCTCCATGAACTTGGCCGCGAATGGAACGAGGATGGCATGGCAGTCTTTCAGTAGTTCGGCATTCGTTGCGAGTTGCTCCGCAGTTTTCTCCGCAATCTCGATGTGGAAATGATAAGGGTTCATTTCCCGTTTCTGCGAGCAACAAACGCCAACAACGGAAAAGGGACACATCAACGATTCAGACGCTGCNACAATTCAGACGCTGACGAGTTAAAAAGGGACACCATAAAAACTTGTGGCCGCACACACTGGTGCGTAGAGAAGGAAATCACAACACACGGACAAGTGGCTGTTGAAGAATCGGGACTGCAGGATTCCTAACAAAATTAAAATTGGGTGAGAATGTAGGTGTGTCCTCACGTTTAGCATGGACCCCGCTGACACGCTGACCAACGGGTGACAAGGGAGGTGCTACGATATTCTCCGGAAGGGAAACAGAAATGCACCCATCCACCAAGTATTTTTTATGCGGATGTATAGCAGTGAGGGATGGTACATAGTCGCTTCATCTTGGATTATTTCATGTTGGATCGACCCATTGAAGAAAAAAGCACCTACGAAAAACCACTTCGATTACCACCAACATTCACGACACAAGATAACATGCATAAATGAGAAGAAGCGATGGAATGTCAACAGAGAACACTCGGAACTACAGTAGTCGGCTGTCGGGGGCTTCACAAAACGCTGGCTCCTGTGTACGCCCACACGGGAACCGACATCTGCCGCTTGACGCTGAGTGAGAGGACATCCTGACGCACCGGCTATGAGACCAAGCGAGAAACGCTCCTCTTGAAGGGTATAGTGCGTCAATTCGGACCTGCAAAAGGCTTTTCAACATATCCACCCCTTTCGTTCACCAACCTGGTGGCCGACCGCGGAAATGGTGGACTCCGCAGAGTTGGAGGTGGACATCTTCAGGTTGACCAGGTTGCTGGGGGTAGCATGGTGTGTCCATTTGTCAAGGTCGT